ATTTATTTGACCAGACGGAAATATGATAGGACAGATTGTTGCCCAAGCGTCACTTTTCACAACTGGAGCAAGAAAACCGCTCTTTTTGCATTATTACACTCTTCATCAACAGGATGGGTGAACATAGCGACGAGGTGAGGAAAACTAGATTGTATATTTTATTGAGGAAGAGGATTTTGAAAATGGCTGGAAGGTGTCTAGTCAGAGGAAACTGATGGCCATGAAGTAAGTCTGCATAGGATGTACAGGGCGAATAGCTTACAAAATCTTTTGGTTGCAAAAAGTGATTGTAAATGGAAAACAAGTTTTGTATTTGTATAATGCCACAGTGATAGAGGGGTTCTCAAAGTGCTGCACTTGGAATGAGTTATTGTTCTAGAATTTGCTGCCATTATGCAGACAGTTTTATAAACTTTATTTGTCCATTTTTCTTTTCCCAGATGAAAAGTACAGTAAGATAAACTCATCACCGGATGATGACCTATTGCCAGAGGCCCTGCCAAAATCAGGGCCTGTAATTCAACAATGTGGGTCCTGAGGTTAAAGATTGCACCAGACTAGCCTATTGGCAATCCAGACTGGTGTATTATAGCAAAGTTCTGGTGAACGAGTCTACCATGGCAGAGAATGAAGACGTGCTCAGCAACTCACTGACTTGTGAGATGAGCACCTCTGAAAAATACTTGCTATGTTTCAAACCTACCCTGATTTAAAAATAAATCATGCTTGATGATAGAGAACTTGTCTTCAATGTGCAAATACAGCCAAGTAGTAACTTGCAAACCACTTCTTTAACATAGAGATGTTCAAAGTGTTTCACACCAGCATTGTTAAATAAAATATGACACCCAGCCATATGATGAGATATTTGGACAGGTAAGCAAAGGTTTAGTCAAAGCCCTATATCTTAATGAGTGGCTTAGTGGAGGAGAGCCATAGGAAAGCAGTGAGGACATAACCAGAGGAAAGATGGTCTGAGGAATTGTGCTATATCTAGCAGCTGGCCCTAGAGGTTGCAACAGATAGCTTTTGACTCATTGTTTAAACTTGATATTTTTAAACAATCTGTTCAGGGATGTTATTACATAACTCTGGAAGCAGGTGGGACTCGAACTGGGTCCCCTGGCTCAGAGGTAGTGACATCACCACTACACAAGAGCCCTAATTTGAAACTTTTTTGCTTTTCATTTCTAGAACTGTTATTATACACAATTGTACAGCTTTTTCCCCCCATCTCACCAAATTACCCATGGTACCTTTCATCTGAAATCAACCACGACAAATCACCCGTGTTTTCAATTAATCAATTTACGTGCAATTCCTAGCAAGGGCAACGCAGTGTCAGCAAATGTGAAGGAGAGGTAGGCACAGGAGTGAGTGAGGATTGACATTCTACAGATGTTTTAGTAAACAGCAAAGGTAATGGATTAACGTATAAAATCTGGGCTGATACTCCCAAGACAGCACTAAGGGAATGCTGCACAGTCAGTGATGCCACTTTGGTTGTGTCTCTTTCCCCTCTCCCAACCATTCCTATCTATCAGCTGACAAAAAAATAATTCCACTGCCTATTGGAAGAAGAGCAGGGTAGCTCTATCCAGTACCAAAATACCTAAATTGATTGCCTGGTCATTATTGTATTTCTGTTTGTAGAAGCTGGGGCTGTGTACAAACAGGCCACATTTCTTTCATTTAAACAGTCGCTGCACTGAAAGGAATATACTTCACTGTCTGTATGTTGCTTTGATAAATCCTGAGATTGTGAAAACAGCTGTACAAATGACAATATTTTTAAAAACTTGAAGCTTTTCAGTGTCAATCATCCTATATCCCAACACACTCTGATAGTGGAAAATCTACCCTTACATTCCAGAACAGAACATGAACTGTCTGATAAGAGCAATTTATTCTTTAAATGCAAATTCATAGGCACCTGAAGGAACAACCAACCATCTAGTGTCAAGTGTTTAATTCCAAGTGCAGCTATGGCACCTCCATCCCAGGTGTTCCATGTCAATGACTCACCTTAAACACGTAGATGCTTATTGAGAGGATGAGATCACATGATTTGAACTGGTCATCTCAACCATGATCTTGTGACAGCAAGACCAATTTGAGTAATTGATCACTATTTGTGTGGTGAATATTGTGATCTTAGACACACTTTTTCATCTAGCCACATAGTGGTTGGAATTTATGACATACCATAGATAAATCAGCAGGCACAACTTAACTTGTCTTCAGGCAATCATGAAGGAACACTGCTGGTAAGAAAAGCTTTTTATTTAAGACTAAAAGGCAGGGAGAATTATCCAGGGTCTACTTTACCAGAAGTACACCAACTCTCCTTGAAACTCTCTTTCACTATTAAAATACTAATTTGTCTTTTGCATGTCATTAAATAATCTTGACACATTAAACCTAAAACCTAGCACTTCATATATCTTCTAGAATTTAAAAAAATGTGCAATTTCATTTTGAAAACCTAAGGTATGGCAAAGCATTTGTTCACACACTTAAATACACTCAGCAAATATCATCTACGGATTTCCAAATCAGTTGAAACCCTGTGCCAGACACAAGGGCCTAAGATACAATGGAGTGGCTAATTGGAAAATTGTTGGTTCAAGGGATCATGCAGCATAAGAGAATCCAATATGCTAGTCATAGCTCTTTCAAAGAGGTATTCAGTTAAACTGACTCCTTCCTGTCCTTTACCCCCAACTCTCAAAACATTGTCGCCCTTTAATATATTGACCTAACCCTTTTTGAAAATTTCAAAGTCCACTGTCTCTTCTGGCTGTGCATTCCAGATTATAGCTCTCTATGTAAAAACATTTTAAAAAACCCAACTCTTTTTGGACCTGGTCAATTGTTCTAAAACTGTTCGCTTTGGCCAACAACGCTCCCTTCGAGAAAAGGGGTCACCTGCATTTTGTAAAAATGCCCCTTAATTTTGACTGCAATTTTCGCCCCATTAGTGTCAAGGGATTAAAAAGCTGTGAACAATATACCCAAAAAACTTTGGAAAGTCATCCACCATGTTAGGTCTCATAAGAAAGGAAAGGAGGCATGCTGGGACTCAGAATGATTTCTCCACTGGATGCGTCATCAGCTTTGCAATAAACAGGCAGAAGTGCAATTGCTGAGTAAATGCAACCTGTGCTTTGTTTTTGTTTTGGAGCAAGCTAGCTGTTGGCATTGGAGGGAAAGCTCATTGGCCCTCAGTACATAAGCAGTTGTTCGATAGATTATTTTCACAAAACTATTACAAGGTCATAAAAAACACAGCCTGGTCTCTGATTTAAATTGATTTGTGTTCAAAGCCCAATATTGTTGCCTCTGAAAAGAATGTCAGTTGTTCAAAGGTTGAAAAGTTCAGATTTGAAGATGATTACTTCATTCACAGTTTGACAGGTTCAGTATTGAAGTCGCTATGTACTGACAAAGGCAGGGAACTTGTGCATCTTTGGTATGAATGGAAGACTTGATGAGAGGAAGCTGTTGCGATGCAAGTAGTTTTACATAAACTCCACTGTATGTGACCAGCAACTGATAAGCTACTTCCTATAATGAAAGAAAACAGAACTTTTTTATAAAAATCATCATAAAATGAAATCAATCAAGGCAAAATATCATCAATAACCTTGATACAGTGGGAACACATTCATTATGTTCCCTGTGTGGTTCACAACCAATCAAGTGGTTTTGGAACTCAATGTATCCATCGTTAGACAGGAAGTAGGAAGCAATGAAGGTGAACAAGCCGAAAATGGAAATCCCATTGAAGGGAAGAGTACAACTTCTTCAATGTGGGTATGCCTGGAAGAACGAAATTAAACCTGGCTAAGGGTGGCAGATTTAAAACAGAGACGAGGAGTGATTACTTCTCTCAACAGGTTGTGAATCTGTGCAATTCACTACCCTTCAGCATGGTGGGTGGCAGGAGAGTGAATAAATTTAAGGAAGATGTAGACAAATTTTTGATTAGTCATGGGTTAAAGGTTATGGGGAGCATGAGGGAAAGTGAAGCTTATGAGATCAGCCATAATTGTACTTAATGGTGGAGTAGGTAAACCTGGCAATGAATTAAATACTCAAAACAAAGCACTGTGGATGCTGGAGATCAGAAACAGAAAGTACAAAGTGCCAGAGGAGCTCAGCAGGTCTGGCAGTGACTGTGGAGAAAGAAAGAGTTAATGTTATGAGTCCATGACTTTCCTCCTTCATAACTCAAAAATATTTTGATGTTCTTTTTTGTAAGGTAGCAGCAAATTTATATACAAGCTTTATACGAACAACAATATAGTAATTTCACATAATTTCTTTCTTAGTGAAGCTGGTCAACAACAATTTATATTTCTATAATGCCTTTAATGTAGTCAAATGCCCTAAGGTATTATAAAGCAAAGTTATGACACTGAACTACAAAAGGAGAACAAATCAAGATGAAGAGCCAACAGATCAAACTTGGTCAAACCAGTTTTAAGAAGCATCTTGGTACAGGTTACTGCACAGACAGCAGAATGTTGGATTAGCTCAAATTTCTGGAGGGCGAGACATAGGGAGACCAGCAAAGATATATGAAAAATACTCTGCAACCTTCAGGCTTGCATGCTAAGTAAGGATGTAATTACAATTATTGTGGATCAGCCTGAGTTTTGTGCAGCAATTTGATAACTGATACTTCACAGCACAGACTGGCATTTAGATTACACCTTTAAAATAGGTAAACATCTTGAGAAACATTACCAAACATCATCTGACACTGAGCTACAGAATTAGGTATCAGGATGTAGGAATTGCAGCCGATAAAATGTATCTCATTGCCCAAGCTTTCAAAGGAGCGATTAAAGAAAACGAAAGGTGGAGAGGTTTACAGGGGGAATTTCAGAGCTTAGGACCCAAGGCACAACTGCCAATAGCAGGGCAAAGGAAACTGACAATACACAAGAGACCGAAGCATTGCAGTTGGTAATACATTTGAGTAAATACAGTACCTGAGCTGTGCCTTTAGGTACAAGGCATTTCAGTGTGTTAAAAACATGCTGTGCTTGTTGATTGCTGTTCCTGCGAGTGTCCTTATCATTCCCTGATAATAGTGGAGTTTCTTCAGACTCTGCCTTGATGTTGTTCAGAGGACTGGATTGATTGATTTCTATGACGATGCAGAGATGGCCTAGCTTTTGATTCAAAAGGGACTGTTGATTAAAAAAGACTAACAGTTAAATGGACACAATACACAAGGCATAAGGTATTCCTTACTTAGGTAATGTTTGGAAAGCAGGAGCAGATACTTCAGCTCGAGTGTTCTGCCATTGACATGGTTGGCTTCAGATCCTTTTCTGCCTTTACACAAGGTGGGCGGCGGAAATCGATCCTCAAAAGATCCAATTATCCCCTTGCAGCCCAGCCTTTCACTACTATTATGAAGAATTGCTTCCTGATATCACTCTTGAAATGGTTTGACTCTGATTTTAAGATTATGCTCCATTGTTCTGGACTCATCTCACCAGAGGAAACTTTTTCTCTTACCCAATGAAATCCTTTAATTGTCTAAAACATTTCAATTTGATCAATCCTTACTCTTCTTCTAGGTAGGAAATCACATGACACCAGGTCATAGTCAACAGGTTTATTTGAAATCACAAGCTTTCGGAGCGCAGCCCCTTCGTCAGGTGCAGTGAGAGAGAAGAGCACAAAGACACAGAATTTACAGGCAGAGAGATCAAAAGATCATACACATGGTGTGAGTGGAGTGTTGAATCATAAGTCTCTGCAGGTGACCAAGAGTGTTAGACTGTGTGAGTAATGTGTCAACAGCTGAATAATAAGTGAAGTGATGATCTGATTAAGTGAGGCAGAGAGATAATTACAACAAACTAAAAATAAGGTGGTGCTGGAGACAAGCCAAATGATTGGGATAACATGATAGATACAACAGTTGCATGTGGAGGAACTAACCAAAGTAATAAGTAATCCAAAATTGTACAAACATTAATCACAACTTATCAAGGTGGTGGTGTCAAAAAAAGGATAGTATGGAAGATTTTGCAAATACAGAACAGTGGGGTGTAGTCACATACAGGGCAGCATTAACCCAAGATCACGGTCGAGGCCATCTTCATGGCTATGGAATGTGGCCATCAGTTTCTGCTTGGCGATTCTGCATCGTTGTGTATCTCAAAGTATGCCTTGGAGGATGCTTACCCGAAGATCAGAGGCTGAATGCCCTTGACTGCTGAAGTGTTCCCGACTGGGAGGGAACATTTCTGTCTGGCAATTGTTGTGCGGTATCCATTCATCCATTGTTGTAACGTCTGCATGGTCCCACCAATTGCGGAATTGCCAAGCAGAAATAGCCAAGTTCCATACCCACAAAGATGGCCTCAACCATAATCTTGGGTTCATGTCGCGCTATGTGTGTGACCACACTGCACTGTTCTGTATCTGTAAAATCTTCCTTACTGTCCTGTTTTGACATCATCACCTTGATAAATTGTTATGATCTCTCAATCTTTATTAGTTTGTACAGTTTTGGATTACTTATTACCTTGGTTAAACCCTCAGCATGCAAATCTTATACCTATCATTTTATTCCAGTCATTTGGTTTGTCTCCAGCACCACTTTATTTTTAATTTTTTGTAATTATGTCTCTGCCTCATTTAATTTACAGGGAGATGATGGCCTAGTGGTATTATCGCTGGACTGTTAATCTAGAGACCCAGATAACGTTCTGGGGATCTGGGTTTAAATCCCGCCACAGCAGATGGTGGAATTTGAATTCAATAAATATCTGGAATTAAAGGTCTAACGATGACCATGAATCCATTGTCAATTGTCGGGAAAACCCATCTGGTTCACTAATGTCCTTTAGGGAAGGCAACAGCCATCCTTACCTGGTCTGGCCTACATATGACTCCAGACTCAACAATGTAGTTGACTTGTAACTGCTCTCTGGGCAATTAGGGATGGGCAATAAATGCTGCTTGGTCAGCAATGCCTCTCATCCCATGAATGAATTTTTTTTTAAAAAAAGTTGCAACTGACAAAGCAGATGCGTTCTGAAAGCTTGTGATTTCAAATAAACCTGTTGGACTACCATCAGGTGTCATGTGATTTTTGGCTTTACAAACTCTGTGACTGTGTGCTCTTCTCTCTCACGGCACCTCAGGAAGGGGCTATGCTCCAAAAGCTTGTGATTTCAAATAAACCTAGTGGACTTTAACTTGGTTTCATGTGACTTCTGACAATGGCTACAATTCTAAGTACACTTGCCCTTTAGTAACTCTGTCACCACAATTTATTCACACTTTTTCTTTCTCCCCTTTAACTGTAAAATTATGCTTTAAAAGTGACAATAGTAAAACAAAATTTGTTCAAAACAAAGAACCAAATGAAAAGTTAAAAGTGTGCAACAATTGAAAGTTGGCACAGATTCTCTGGCAAGTGCGTTAAATGCTGATTCAGTTGCTGGGTTCAGGAAGCGAAATGAACCACTTTGCTGAACAAGCAGCAACCAGGAAGTGAACACAAAATGCTGGAAAGGGAGATGAAAATTAAATCAGTCGACAGCTTGATTCAGGCACTAACAGCGGGATCATTCCCACAGTAAATGAGAAGTTGTTTTTATTTACAAGAAGAGAATGAAAGCAATCACCTGAAATCCAGACTCTGTCTGATGTTGTTCTTCCAGCATAGAAGCGAGTCTCCTCTCACACTCCTTAACATCAAAGTACACAAAGCAGAGCTGACTGTACGTCAAGGAACAGAAGCTGCTACTGGTTTCACCTGGACAAGTTAGTTGATGGGCTTAATTCACCAACAAAATGTACGGGGGGAGTGTAAAAGGTCATTGACAAGTTGTTGCAGTCATAGATGGCAGATGAATTTCAAAAGCAGGGAAGTGTAAGGTAATGCACTTTCGTCAGAAGACATTACAAAATAAGGGGTACAATTCTAAAAGGGGCGCAGGAGAGAAGGACCTGGGTGTATTTGTGTATAGATCATTGAAGGAGGCAGGACAGGTAGAGACAGCAATAAACAAAGCATTGAGTATCCTCAGCTTTATTAACAGGGGCATGGAGTACAACAGCCAGGAGGTGATCTTGAACATGTACTAGACACTGGTTAGACTTCAGCTGGAGTATTATGTACATGTGGGCGCCACATTATAGGAAAGATGCAAACACATTACAGAGAGTGAGAAGTAATTTTCAAGAATGGAACAAAAACAGAAGTTGCTGGAAAAGCTCAGCAGGTCTGGCAGCATCTGTGAAGAAAAATCAGAGTTAACGTTTCGGGTCCGGTGATCCTTTCTTAGAATTGTTCCGAGGAACGGTTATCAGACTCGAAACGTTAACTCTGATTTTTCTCAAACAGATGCTGCCAGACCTACTGAGCTTTTCCAGCAACTTCTGTTTTTGTTCCTGATTTACAGCATCTGCAGTTCTTTCAGTTTTAATTTACAAGGATGGTTCCAGGAATGAGAACGGTTGCATGGTGGCTCAGTGGTTAGCATTGCTGCCTCACAGTGCTAGGGATCCGGGTTCGATTCCACCCTTGGGCGACTGTCTGTGTGGAGTTTGTACATTCTCTCCGTGTCTGCGTGGGTTTCCTCCGGTTTCCTCCCACAGACCAAAGATGTGCAGGCTAGGTGGATTGGCCATGCTAAATTGCCCATAGTGCTGAGGGATGGGTAGATTAGGTGGCTTATAGGGGGATTGGTCTGGGTGGGATGCTCCGAGGGGCGGTGTGGACTTGTAGGGCCGAAGGGCCTGTTTCCACACTGTAGGGATTCTATAAAATTTCTATAAATGAGAAACATCAGTTATGAAGACAGATTGAAGAAGTTCTCACTAGAGAGGGGGCTGCTGAGAGGTCACTTGATAGCGTTTTTCGAAATTATGCATGGGCAGAACAGAGTAGATAGTATAAAAAGAAAAAAAAAGCAATAAAGAGAGGACATGCATTTAAAATGACGTGCAAAAGATGCAATGGCAATGCGAGCAAAATCTTTTTCATACAGCAAGTAGGGTACAAAAGCACTGCCTGGAAATGTGATGAAGGTAGGTTCAATTGAGGCATTCAAGAGGGTACTGAAATGGTGTGCAGGAACATGGTGAAAAGGCAGAAGACTGACACTCGGTAATAGAATCAGTGCAGGCATGATGGGCTGCATGACCTCCTTCTGTACCATAGCCAGTCTGTGAAAATCAATTGAGGAAGGTGGTCCACTCATTTAGTCTACTCTTTCCAGCTTATTAACTCTACAGCTCTGTAGCATTCACTTGAAAAAGACATGACTTTGGTTACATCCAAGCTGGGATACCAGAGAAATCTAATATAGAGAATAATATAGATTAAATCTATTCAGCTCATTGTGCCTGAATCAGTTCTTTCAAAGATCTATTGAATTAATCCATCTTGATTCCTTTTTCCCCATAGCCCTAAAAACTATCTCCTTTTCTGAAATACTCTTTTGAAAATTTTTATTGCATCTTCTTCTATTGCCCTTTCAGGCATTGCATTCTACATCACAACCTACTGTGTAATAAAAATTTGCCATATCCCACTTTAGGTTCTTTTGCTAATTACTTTAAATCTGTGCCTTTACCATTGAAAAGGGCTATTTTACAGTCTATCAAATTCACTGTGACATTAAACACTTCTATCAAATCTCTTCCTGGCTTTCCCTACAAAAAGGAGAACTAATCCAGTTTCCTAATTCTTCCACATTACTGAAGACCCTCCCCCTGATATCGTTCTACAACTGAGCATCTAAAGCCTTCACCCCTCAAGCCATGACAGGGTTAGAAAACAAAGCGTTTATAAATCATTCCAGTTTCTGGAAAGGATACATGAAGCATACTTGTGCAATGTTTTGTTACATCCAATACACCAACCAAAATGTTGTACTTCACAAGGTTCTCATTGACCCAGATGAGTCGCATATCCGTGTTCACATTAATCTGTAAAATGGATTTTAGTTAGTTTCAAAAGGGAAACACTTGGTTAGCATATGAAACACGAGTCTAACATCAGTTACTCTGTCTGCTGATTTTGTCTTGTGTGTACACAAATGTTGGATTTTGGGGTTCAACCCAGTCATCACCCGAATGTTCAGAATCTGTTTAATAATTAAAAGGGTAGAAATTACTGTTGGTATGCATGTACAAAATCCTGCTTCCTGTCATTGTTTTTAATGTCAAACGTGGCCCAGTGTGTTGCACTCAAAACCAGAAGATTACAAGTTCACATGAGTCTTGGGGTACATAATCTAGGTGGGTGATGCAGTGTCAGAGGTACCGATCATTTAGATAAGATGTTAAATGGAGACTCCATGTTCTCTCGATGTGGATTTAAAAGATCCCACAGCCGCTATTTTTGACGGGAAAGTAGAGGAATTCTCCCACGTGAGCTTGGCCAATATTGATCAACATCACTGAAACAGATCATCTGCTATTTGTGGAAATGTGCTGTGAATGAACTGTATTTCATGTATTGTCACAGTGACTATACTTCAAGAGATACTCAATTGGCTGTAAAGTGCTTCGGAATGTCCTGAGGTTAATAGGTTCCATACAATTGTCGAGTTGGTTCCTTTAGTCTCTGCATTCCTGGCTGTGCAGGCAGGTGGTCAAGCTGCTTCAGGTATTGCTGCTCTTACAAACTCCCCTTATTTTTTGATTTGCTTTACATGTCCATCTTGGCTGCAGGGATAAACCTTGGCACATACAAACTCTGAGGTCCCATACACATGACTCTGCTGCTTTAACCATCTGTTAACACCATATGGTCAGGGTGACAAATGCTACTCTTATGCTAATTTTGTTTTATAAAAATAATATTCACACCACACAACTATCAGACAATGATCAAGTCCAACAAGAGAATCTAACCAGATCTCCTTGAAATTCAATGGCATCATCATCATTGAGTCCCACACCAACCATATCCAAGTCAGTTGCAATAGTAAGGATCTTAAATGGAACAACCATTTAAATCCTTTGGCTACAAGAGCAGGTCAAAAGCTGGGAAGTCAGTGAAAAGTCACTTACTTCTACACTGATCCACCACCTATAAGATACAAGTTAGGAGTACAATGGATTGTTCTCCACTTGCCTGGATGAGGGTTGCTCCAACAAGACACCAGAAGCTTGACATCATCTAGGAAGATGCGGTCCTCTTGATTAGCAACCAGCCAGTGATGCACAGTGGCAGCATTGCGTACCATCTACAAGGTGCGCAGCAGCAACTCACTGAGGCTCCTAAAACAGTACCTTTGAGACCCGTGACCTCTACCCCTAGGGCAGCAGATGCGTGGAAATACCATTGCTTGCAAGTTCGCCCCATTCTGATATTGAACTGTATTGCTGTTCCTTCACTGTTACTGGATCAAAATCCTGTAACTCCCTTTCTAACAGCACTGTGGGTGTACATACTCTTCACTGACTGCAGCAGTTTAAGAAGTCACCACCTACTTCAGAAAGGAATTAGGAATAGGAAACAAATGTACTTTTACTGCTTTAATTCTCATCTTTCTTCACTCATCTTCCTGACTTCTGCTCGTCAGGTCTTTTCAGATTAGGCATGAAAATTTTGTTACATGTATAGTACAACTTCTGCACAATCTATAGGTGCCTACCACACATATGTTTAGTTGGAAGAGAGTCGCAAACAATGTGTCTCTGCACCTGAAGTGACAAGCTCTGATATATTACACATTTAAAAGTGGTCTGCCTTTACGGTTCATCCTGCTGTGAGCTTACTGATCCTAAAGTGTATTGTTAGGTCATAAAAATTGTCATAGCAGTATCTTTTTGGATGCAATGACACGTATTCAGTGCACCTCACGTTTAGAGATTTCTCTAAACTTCCTCTATTTCTTTTTCTTTATTCATTAACGGGATGAGGTTGTCGCTGGCGAGGCAGCACTTCTCGTCCATCCCTAGTTGCCCAGAGGACAGTTCAGAGTTAACCACATTACTGTGGGTCTGGAGTCACATGTAGGCCAGAACAGGTAAGGATGGCAGTTTCCTTCCCTGAAGGACATTTAGTGAACCAGGTGGGTTTTTCTGACAATCGTCAATGGATTCATGGTCATCATTAGATTCCTAATTCCAGGTAGTTTATTGAATTCAAGTTCCACCATCTGGTGTGGCAGGTTTCGAACCTGGGTCCCTGGAATGTTATCTGGGTCCCTGGATTATAGTCCAGTGATAACACCACGAGGTCATGGCCTCCCCAGTATTTAATTATTCAGCTTCACCAAGACATAGAGTTTCCCCTTGTGATTTGTCATTCACTTATATGCTCCTTCAATGTCAGAAGGTGACAAGGAATACAGGCCAAGGCCACCTGCAAATCTTTAAGCCATTTTATTTCCTAGCAAGGGTCAATACACATTTTATGATTGGATTGATACACTTGATGGATTCTTTGGACTAATGTATGTCAGAAGTGGCTCAGTTGGTAGCACTGAGTCACAAGGTTCTGGGTTCCTGGCCTACTGCATGGTTTTAACAAAAAAATTCTGAGGGAGTACCACACTGTTGAAGGGCTTATCTTTCTGATGAATTTTTGAAACTGTCTGCTAGTTGGATCCAAAAGGTCCCAATTAAAGCAAAGCACTGCAGATGCTGGAAATCTGAAACAAAAACAGATGGTACTGGAGAAACACAGCAGGTCTGGCAGCGTCTCAGGAGAGTAAAACAGAGTTAATGTTTTAAGTCCAAAGACTCTTCATCAGAACTGATTCCAGTTCATTTTTACTGCAAAGGTCCCAAGGTACTTTACTGAGGAAGAGCAGGTGAGTACTCCCTGGTGTTCAGGCCAATATTTATCCCTCAATCGGTGTACCAAAAACAGATTAATTGGAAACTTTATCAGATTATTGCTTATGGGAGCTTGCTATTGGCTGCTGCATTTCCTACACTACAAAAACGATTATAATTTTAAAAGCATTTTATTGGCTGTAAAGTTCTTTGCGATGTCTGGCGATAGTGAAAAACAGTACTAGTGTCAGTCTTTCTTTTTCTTTTTCCTTCAAGCAGGTTGTGCAGGCAGGTGGTCAAGCTGCTACAGGTATTGCTGCTCTTACGAACTCCCCTTATTTTTTGATTTGCTTTACATGTCCATCTTAGCTGCAGGGATAAACCTTGGCACATACAAACTCTGAGGTCCCATACACATGACTCTGCTGCTTTAACCATCTGTTAACACCATATGGTCAGGGTGACAAATGCCACACTCATGCCACCCATATCCTTACTATTCCGACTGACTCGGATCTTAATTGGAACAACTATTTAAATTCTTTGGCTACAAGAGGAGGTCAAAAGCTGGGAATTCAGCAAAAAGTCACTTACTTCTACACTGATCCATCATCTACAAGACACAAGTTAGGAGTACCCTGGATTGTTCTCCACTTGCCTGGATTATTATTACTTTTTTTTCTACATCTATACATCTACATGAATTAGGAGAAGAAGGTGGCCACCCAGCCTGCTGCACCATCCAAAAAGACCATAATCTGATGACTCTACATTCTCGTGGGGCACCACACCGTGAGCACGGGGCAAAGTGAGGAGGTAAGCCTCCGATGTTGAAGACTAAACTAAGAGGATTTTGAAGTGCCCAGGTTGTAATGAATGGAAAGTGAGGCATCCATCTTTTGCTGAGCTCTGGCTCCTATCGTCCTTTTGAAATCAAGACAGGATTGGTTTTCAACTGTGCTGCAAGACTCCAAGAGCTTCACAAAGTAGGCACAATTACTGAAAAAAAAAACAAAATATGCTAGGGTCATATGCTTATGAGGTGGTAGTGGAAGCACATTGATTGGCTGATTTCCCTTGTGCACTGACATGTAACAAAATCATAGGTTATTTGTAAATCCCATGCACCACCACTACAAAAGAAAAAGCCCTTACCTTGTTGTTAAAGACATTGTGTCATATGTTCAGTCACACTACAGTCCTGCTCTCAGCACTGAGATCCTTCACCTCTAAATTAAAGGCTTAGCACAAGTCCCTACCTGTCCCATTGATACACTACATTTTGTATGTGTACTGAATGCCACTTGAAAGAGAAAGTAAAAATCAATCGCATTTGCAGATGTCAAATTATGAGAACTTGTACAGATAAAGGTCAATAAAATCAATGCTTCACTGGTTTCACAAGAAACTACAATCTCACAGGTACATGTGGGACTCTTTCTTACCTTTTGATTGCGCCGGTGCAGGAGGAGGAGGAGGATGGTGGTCAAAAGTACAGCGATGATGCTGATTAGAAGGCAGAAGGCCCAAAAGAAACTCTTCACATACATGTCCAGGTAGAGGTGGAAAGTTGAGAAGAGACAACACCATGCTGCCAGATAAAATACCTAAAAGATCAACAGACACCGTTATACAGGCTGCACGATCGGTCTGTTGGCCTATCCCGAAACAGGACAAGAACCTCAGAGCTCTATATGCTCCTTCAACTCTAAGCTCTTCCATGTTTCCAATCTTTTTTATCCTGCAAATTGCATCTCGAGATGTCTAGGTCTCAAGCTGTGTCATTTCCTCCAAAGAACCCCTCAACTTTTCGCTCTTCCTATATTTCATGCTCTTACATGAACTTACCTCTTGATGTCCCAATATTTGAATGAAAACACAATATCTATTAGAAATGACTGAGGCTGTTCTTCTGAATAAAAGGATTTAGGTGACAATCCAGACATTCGTGAAAACCTTAAATTGGTGAATCACGGAATCATTATGGTGCAGGAGGCCGCCATTTGGCCAATCATGCCTTTGCCAGCTGTTATTATCTAGTGTCCATCTCCTGCCTTTCCCCATATCTCTACACACCATAACTATTCAAATAACCATCCAATGCCCTCTTGAATGAACTAGACTATAAACCATGATACTTAACCTTAATTTATCGATTTTAAAAAAATGGACCCACAAAACAAATTTGTGATTCTATATTGATCTTGCTGTTCTACAATATTTTTATATTCTCAACAGGTTGACATGAAAGCTGTTCCTGGATCAATATACTTAGGGGAGTGCTTTTAACATCACCTGCCTGTCGGGCATTTTATGGGATTGAGCATATGTGGATTTATTCTCCACTAAAGTCAATGAGAAAAGATTTTTAACCAATCAGCAGTGTTCTGACCAATTACGTGGGGCTCCTGCTTAGACAATCAAGTTAAAGCTGAACATACAAATTCAAACAGGACTGGGCAAATTGGCCCCTCGAACCTGTACCACCAGTCAATATGATCATGTCTGTCTGGTTATTCTACATTCACACCTTTATCCAACAATGTTTCATTCCTTGCTTATCAATAATCTATCCACTTCTGCCTTGAAAATATTCATAGCCTCTGCTTCAGCCATTTTATGACAGAGATTGAACTTATCCTCCAATTTATACCTGATTGGAAATAGACATGTTTTCTTAAAACATTCTGTTCGAAAACATTTGATGTGGACTACGCTTTGATAGTTGAGTTTTACAATAAGCTGCATGATATGACACTCCATGCAAACCAGAAGATTCAACTTGAACTGCATCACTGTATTTGGAATTTATGGCTTGGTCTAGGAAAGATTTTAGTTTCTGACCGTAACTACTTCAGTGAGTTATCCAAGTAGATATAAAAAAAGACAAAACGGGCAGGATTTAGTCTGACTGCAGCATTTCCCTCATGAGTGCTGATAATGACCATGCAGAATCACCCACAAACAATTTACTGGAAAGCAGTCACTGTCTGAGAAACCAAATCCCCACCATCTATCGTAATCTACTGGGGAGGACGAGAAAAATAGTCATGGAGTTACACAGGAAGGAAATAGATCCTTCGGTCCAACTCATCCATGCCGACCAAGTTTCCCAAACTAAACTAATCCCACTTGCCTGTGTTTGACTCATACCTAAACTTTTTCCAGTTCAATGTCTTTTAAACATTGCAAATGTACCTGCATCTACTCCTTCCTACGGAAGTTCATTCCACATACGAACCACCGTCTGTGTGAAGATGTTGCTCCTCAGGTGCCTTTTAAATCTTTCTCTACTCACATTAAAAATATACCCCCTAGTTTTGAACTTACCCACCCTAGGGAGCTATTCACCTTATCTATGTCCCTCATCATTTTATAAACGTCTATAAAGGTCACCCCTCAACCTCCTAGGCTAGAATGAGAAGTGTCCCAGTTTATCCACTCCCTGACTAACTAGAATCTAACAGCCTGGTCTGAGTGTTTTTCCAGCTAACTCATTTAGGAGTTCTTGCTGTATCTCCATGCCAACCATGCTCCAAACAATCAGAACCCTCTTTTACTGTATAAATGGATACGCCCTTTTTAAGTTTGGCTCCTTGCAAGTCAGTGCTGATAAGTGCAAGACAAAATAAGCTTTGATCTTATTGGTAATGTTTCGCCGATGAGTCTGGAACCTCCCATTCCTGACCTCAACTGAAGTCATCAGTCTTGGTGTCACCAACCTTGGCAATTTGAGTGTTGCTGGCTAGGCCAGCATTTATTTCCCAGAGACCAAGTAAGAGTCAACCACAATGCTGTGGGTCTGGAGTCATGTGTAGGCCAGAACAGGTAAGGATAGCAGTTTTCTTCCCTAAAGGACATAGTGAACCATATGGATTTTTACAACAACTGGTATCATGATCATTATTAGAGTCTTAATTCCAGACTTTTATTGAATTCAAATTCCAACATCTGCCATGATTTGAACCTGGGACCCCAGAACAATACCTGGGTCTCTGGATTAAAAGTCACATGATGGTACAACTAGGCCACCACCTCCTCTCAACATACTGACTTCTATGGGTTACATACCCAGCACGAGTTGCCAGTGGAATCAAGGCTATACTCCTGGTTCAGAAGTGACAGTCACTCACAAAAACTTAGAGACCCAGAGACAGTCAATATTACTTGTCAAATGATACAAGGTGCAAAGCATTGTTATCCCAAGACAAGTGGATTGGTAATGGAAATTAGAAATAGGAACCCTCCTCACCTTACATTCCCAATTATAATCAAGTCATACTTAAAAAGGAATGCATAGAAATCCCTACAAAGCATTTCACCTATCACTGAGAGCCATCTCATTTCAAAGAGGTTGAATATCAACTGGAAATGCAGGATCACTCACTGGTGCAAGCAGCATCATGAAGCCAGTGGAACTAAAGTACATGTATCGTCTTACTTCTGTGCTCATTAGGGATGCTCGAATGGGTAGCTCATAATCTTCTGGTGGCACCTGTGGAGCAGGAAGCAATGCCAGGGTGACAGAAAGAGAAACAGAGAGAGAAAATATAATGTTTCCATCTTTAATATTTTACCCAGATGCCTGAATTTCCCAATTCACTCCAAGTCCTATTTCCACATCAATCACGCTCATCAACTTACCTTGGCTCTCAGCACTGAAATCTCATCCATATTTATTCGCTTTATTTAATTCTTTAATGTCAAATCTCCGCGTTTTCAGCCTTCTTACTTCATATCAGAAACTATTTGAGATCTCTGTGTACCTCTTACTCCTATTCCTTGTGCATGCACATTTTTAAGTTGTTCCACTGGTGGTGGCTGTGCGTTCAGCTGCCTGAGCCATAAGACCTGGCATTCTTTCCCTGCATTTACCCAGTTCTCTGCCACCCTTTCCTCTTTTAAGAAACTTAAAATTTAAAAGTGCTTCACCAAGCTCATCTAATATTTCCAGGTTTCTTTGCCACATTTTATTTGGTGATGCCTCTGTGAAGCGCATCAAGCCGTTTTACATTACACATATTATTCTGTTTAAGTTCAAGGAGATAAATAAAAGCAAAAAAGGAAGATAAAAATCATCACAGTTCACGTGTTGTAAGCTGAACTCAAATGTTATGCTGTTACAAAACACAGCACGGATGAATGAACCGTGATTTCTCCTGTGGAATAAACAAACCGAAATAAGGCTATATTTGGAATCAACTAGATGTCACATCAATTCAGAAAACACCATTTAATGAGGAACAAGGCCAATGTTAGAAGCCTCCTTTTATATTTTGCAATGTCTCGTTTCTTATGAAAATTGCAGCTATAAAGGAAAAACTGGATATGCTAGAATTGTCTTCCTTACAAAGAGGTGGTTTCGGGCCGACTTTTAATTAAGGTATAATGAGGGGTTTGGATAAGGTGGAGAGGGAAGACCTGTTTCCCTTTTGAAGAGAGGTCAATTTCTGGGGGTATAGATTTAAAGTGACCAATAGAAGAGTCAGAGGGGACGTGAGGGAAAATGGCTGCATCCCGAGGGTGGTGGTTGCCTGGAATTCTCTGCCCAGTTTGGTCCTTGCAGCAGGAACCATCAACTCATTTAAAAGAAACCTGGATCTGTACCTGGTGATGCAAGGCATGGACTAGATGCTGGAAAGTTGGACAAGAATGGGCAACTAGTTTATTCAGCCAGCACAGAGGTGATGGGCTTAATGGCCTCTTTCTTGTGCTTAAACTTTTCTATGGTGGTGCCCATCGCACAACATACTGTAGTTAGAACAGCAGCCCACCAACTACTTCTTCCCAATTAAGGGCATTTAGCCATCACTTCCTCGGTGGATCTGGCTTATTTCCTTATCCTCTCACTGTATTATGAAACTGGAACAGCTGCAGGCCATTCAATCCTTTAAGTCTGCTTGACTATCCAAATCATAGCTGATCTTCCACTTCAATTACACTTTCCCATCAGATTCCCATATTCCCGCTTCCCTTTGTATCCAAAAATCTATCCTTGTCTTGAATATACTTAATCTAGCACCGCATGGTTCTCTGGGGTACAACATTCTGATATATTCAGATTCTTTAGAGTTAAAACATTTTTTACGCATAAAAATTAACAACAGGAGTAGACCATTCTGCCCCTTGAGCCTGCACCGCCATTCAATAGGATCATGACTGATTTGATAGTAATCTTAAATTCACATTTCAACCTAATCCTGACAACATTTCAACCCCTTGTTTACCAAAAATCTATCTACCTCGACCTTAAAGTATTCAAGGAGTCTGCTTCCACCACCTTTTTAGGGAGGCCGTCAGAAGAAATTTCATGTAATTATTGTTTTAAATGGGCCTGACTTTTAAACAGTGACCCTTAGTATTTTACTTTTATTATCAAACTGTGAAATCTGAAATAAAAACCAAAAGTGTTGAAGAAATTCAGCAGGTCTGGCAGTTTCTGTGGAGAGAAAAACAGAGTTAACTTTTGAGTCCAATATGACCAAGTTCCAAAGAAGATTCATGCTGGACTCAAAACATTAATTCTTTCTGCCTCCAAAGATGTTGCCAGACCTCCGAGTTTCTCCAGCACTTTCGGTTTTAGTTTCAGTGACCTGTACTCCTAGTTCAGTCCAAAATGGCCAAGTCCTTTTCCTGTGCATGTAATCATTAGTTCTTGACTCCCGAGTGAGAGAAAACATCACTTTCCATCTCTCTTGTTGCAAGTCTGGAATGGTATCTCAAGGTGTCTCTGCTCAGTACTTCACCCCACACAAAAAAAATTGTGGTGGAAGTTAGGAATTTGCTTATTTGAGAGTGGTATCCTAAAAATCGGAGATGTTAGAAAAATCAATTGAGTTTCATGTTTACAATTAAAAAAAAATTTCAAATGCATCACAAACCGTTTGACTGGTTAAATGGGGCTTCCATTTAAAAAACACTCGTTCAGTCCTAAAGATATCTGGTGATTTTTGTGTAAGTCCAACTTGAGTCTTCAGAGGAAAATCTGGCTGACACTTCAGGTTATTGAATCCATTCTCAACAGCCTTTTTGAATAGACATAAAAGCTACTACGGCAATATTTTGAAGAGGAGTAGGGAAGTTATCACCTAGCATCCTGGCTCATAGTTATTCTTCAATGAACACAGCAAAAAAAAAAAAAAAAAAAATCCCATTATCACATTGGTCTTTGTGGAAGCTTGCTGTGCTCAAATTGGCTGTCATATATTTTATATTGCTACACTTCAATAGCTTAGAGATGTCCTACAGTTATGAAACAAAATACAAATACAATGCTTCCATTCTTTGAGAGATAATCTACTTTAATAAATAAAAGTGTCTTGGATTTTGCTTGTTTTATCTCATATTTCATCAGATACATATGTATTGTTAAACATTTTGCACATTTAAGCACTTGCTGTGTAATTGTTGATCATGTCTTTTGTCAACATTTAACATTGAAACTGCCTATGTAAACATTTAGATAGACAATCCTGCATGTAAACCCGGAGTAATGACATAGCTGTGAACTGCAGCAAGTGGGCACTGTAGTTTTTGTTAATTTTCTCCATTTTGTGACGTTTCAAACAGATATATGTTCAAAAATGCTTATGTTCATCAACAGACAATCATGGACAGTGCCAACAAAACTTGAAATTAATACAAGAGAAGAATACAGATTATCCATTAGTCTGGTCATTAGCTATTCAGTCACTGACCATTCTTCTTCATTGGCATTTGGGGACCAGAATTTATCTGTACTGAACATCATGGAGCTTACAGCAAAGCAGTACATCCTGTCCTCCCTCCAAGACACATAACAATATGTGCTAGGCTAAATATAAATAAAAAAAAACAAGAAAATAATTTGGTGTGCTAAGAGGAATATTGTTGAATTACAAGCTTGTGTTACCTGAACTCCAAATCTGGCAAGATTTTCCTCACATGACTCCAGATCAAATCCCTGAGACCACCAGAAGCCACTGGAAGTGAGGACCAGTAGTATGCGGCCATTGTACAACTCTATAATGAGAATTATGGAAATTTTAGTCTTTGAGCTATTAGGCAAGCAATGAGTGTGCTGTAGACAGAAGGAATTTTGTAAGCAGCGATGGCTTGCTGGTGAGAATTTTTCAATCAAGCTTCTCACATCAACAGCATGTTACTGCAAGAAACATTTGTTTTCTCTGTGTTGCTTTTTATGGTTTCCGTGACACATCCCCAGAGAGAAGAGCTGAGCTTGCTGCAGTATCTAATGCTTCTGCTGTCAACTGTTGGTGAGAAGTGTATAACAACAGCAGGAGCAGAACTCACATTCCAATTAGAGGTCACTTTATTGGGGAAGCACCTAATGTCTATTCCTCATTAAGGGGTTGATTCAAGGTCGAGCACTTAAAACACGCTCAGATTCTCAAGAATCGCTATTCATTTGCCAATCTTGGGATCATTACAGTGATGTTCTCCCGAGCAATTTTAATTTTTTTTTAAATTAAAAAAATCCAAAGTGAATAATTGTAACACAACCCACAGGACCAATTTTACACATCGACTTTGGCAGGGAAAGAAATCAGGAGGGATACAAAACCAACATTACAACTGCTCTATTTCAGTTCCTGACAGGCAGAACACCATTGTAGTATTCTAGTATTTCAATTCTGCTGCTAGAATTCCTTCTCTCCAACAATTGCTCCCCTTCCCCTCCTGTCCGATGTCATTGGTTTCTTGATGGTTATCAACACTAATGCATCTTGACAAAGAAGCCATTCCTTAATAATAACATATGGGGAAAAAAATCTTTGACTCAAGGCTCTCTTCCAACAGGTTTGTTTTTATTCGTTATTGGGATATGAGCGTCACCGGCTGAACCAGCATTTATTGCCCATCCATAATTGCCCAGAGGGGAGTTAAGAGTGAACCACATTGCTGTGGGTATGGAGTCACATGACAGCCCATCCCTAGAAGTCATTAGTAAACGAGATGGGATTTACCTGACAATTGACAATGGTTTCACGGTCATCATTAGACTCTTAATTCCAGAATTTCATTTACCATGGCAGGATTTGAATTGAGGTTGCTGGAACATTACTTGGTTTCCTGGATTCATAGTCTAGCGATAATATCACATGGCCATCACCCCTCCATTCCTGAAAGCTGCATGAGCTCAAATACATTTTGCTCGCCGTCCACTGATACCAGCTGAAAACCCGACTGAACATTGGCTTTTGCTTCAGGTTATATTGCTAAGCACAGAATAAGCTTCCCAAGCTCTCAGTTGATTTTTTAATCAGTTCCCCAAGTGAAACATCCTCAAGAATGTCATCAGCATGCTCTCAAAACTCCTAAATACATTTCAGGACTCACCTGGTCTCTCAGAAGGGCTGCTGTACAGTTCTGAATCATTCGTGCTATTATTTTGACTAAGGATGCCTGGTCCATTCGGATCTGAGACACAAAAATAATTTTTTCAGCCACTGTTATTTTCCAGGTGGGGTATATGAAACAGCCACACTGAGATTACACAGGAGAAATTCTTTTTCTCAGAGGATTGTAGAACATTGAAAGTCTTCCTCTAAGATCATGGAAGCAGTCTTTGAATCTCTTTACCTCAAAGGCATATATATTCTCGGTAAACAAGTGGGTGAAAGATTATCAGAGGAAGACAGAGAAATGTGGAGTTGAGGTTACATTCAGATCAGCCGTGATCTTATTGAATGGCAGAACATACTTGAGGGACGACATAGCCTACTCTCGCTTGTAACTCATAAAAAAAGTGGTGAAAGCAGAATCTTTGAATATTCTGAAGGCAGAGATGGATAGATTCTTGCTAAGCAGGGAGATTAAAAGTTATCAGGGCTAGGTGGATATGTGGAATATCAGATCATCTATGTACAAATCATAGAATCCTTAAGTGTGGAAGCAGGCCATTCGACAGTCCGAACTGCAGCCCATCCAGACCCACCAGCTCACTCTATCCCTGTAATCCACCAAACCTGCACATCCCTGGACACTAGGGCTAATTTAATATGCCAGTCCATCCAATCTGCACATCTTTGAAATATGGGAGGAAATCTACAGACACGGGGAGAGTGTGCAAACTCCACAGCCAGACGCCCGAGGGTGGAATCAAACCTAGGTCCCTGGCACTGTGACTTTTGTTTTTGGTGGGTTTGTCACTGTTTGACATTTAAATGGTCAGTTGTTCCTCTAAATCCCAGTTTGGTGTTCCCACTGTTTGGAACCCGAAGTTGCAGAGTCTACCACCTCACAGCAGGTCCGCTTCAAAGAATCTATTTCTGAAAGGTAGCGATTTCCTTTGAAGGGCTGAGTTTACTCCCATGGCTATGATCCCAGGACACTCTTGGTCATAGGGAGCTGGAGGGCACCTTAGTGGGGGTCAGGTATACTTTGGGATTGTTAAAAGGATCATGAATTTGCCTTAAAAAGTTCATTAACCCATTGGAACTGACAGAGCTTTCAAAGAATTGTTGAAGTTGTACAACTGCTAAAGCTGCCAAAGAACTTAGAAAACAAATATGTTTATTTTGATAAGAGATTAGTTGAGGGAATTTCAATGTACTGAATTTTTTATCAGCTGGAAAAGTGGGCCATTTGGGCCATCAAGTCTGCTCCGCCATTCAATGAGACTATAACTGATCCGATAATTTTCAACTCCATTCTCCTGCCTTCTCCAAATAAACCAGGATTCCCTTTCTGATTTAAAATCTCTCAGCCTTTGAATATGCTTAATATGCTTCAACAGCTTTTTGCGGTAAACAATTTCACAGCTGCACCTTCCTCTGAGAAGTTCCTCTCGATCTTCATTTTAAATATGCAACCCCTTATTCTGACATTATACTCTCTGATCCTAGGCTTTTCCATAAGGGGAAAAAAACATCTCAACATCTACTCTGCCAAGTCCTCTAAGAATCTTCTAAAGTTCCAATGAGGTTGGCTCAATCTTCTAAATTCCAATTGATACAGGTCAAACCTACTCAATGTTTCCATAACAGACATGTCAGCATGGCTCCTGAAGTTCATCCATAGTGGATAGTAGATGAGTGAGTGAGAATGGAGTGGAGAGTGTAAAGGGTGTAGGATGGGCACATAGGTTAGAACTAAGTTGACATAGGAAAGATAAAGAATGTGTGCACAGGAACAAAGGGATATGAAAGGGCAGTGGGTATTGGGACATAGGGGTTATGAAGGGCCATGAGGGTTGGTAGAGGGGCACAAGGCAAATTAGAAGGTTTGAAGTGGCGTGGATGGGGGCATGAGGAGTGCGTATGGGCCAACGTGTGAGGATTGAGGGCTGGAGTGATGCTTTACTTTCATTTCTTTTCATTAAACTGGGTGTAGAGGGGCAGACCTTGCACCCAAACTGCAATACAGCCAACAGTCTCTGCCCTCATTCCTGGATCACCCCATCACTTCAGAACAAAAATTGGACTTTCACACAGTTTCACATGGGTCACACGTTTGTCGAGTTGGAAAATATTCCATTTCTACGTTCTAGACCTGCGAATGAAAATCGGGACCTGTCTGTTGGAGCCCCTTCTTTTCCCAAGGGTTGAGTACAAGGCCTAGGCTAACATGTCCAACACGGTATTGAGAGAATGTTGCACACCTGAAGTGGTCTCCTTTATATGAGGTATTAAACATTCAAGAGAGAGTAGGATTGCAGACAGGAGCGAATGAAAAGAATTCAATGGCACTACTTTGAAGAGTGTGCTCTCCCTGGTGCCTTGGCCAATATTTGCTCCTTCATCAAACTTGCTGAAATAGCTAACCTGTTCATTATTACATTGCTGTTTATGGGAGCCTCCTGTACAGAGTGGTCGTCATCTTTATCATAAGGGTAGCTACATTTTAAACGTAATGTGGTCATTAATCATTTTAGGGGCATTCTGTATATAAAGGGTGTTACAGAAATGCAAAACTTAGTTTCTTTTCCACTCAGAAAAATAATGTGTCTTTCTTACCATTTATCCAGTGAAGCACATCTGCTTCCTCAATTGCTTCAAATGACGTCAAGGAGGTTCGTTCTGCTGATATCTTGTAGCCACTGTCATCATGCGCCATTATGACAGGTGTCTATAAACTGGTATAGCAGGGCAAGATAGTGCTCGGTTTCTGTACCATACATGACACTAATGCTGTGACTGCTTTGTGCCACACATAGGACTCTGTAAAACCAGGTACAATCAAAAACTATTAAGGTGCCGAATCAGCAGTGGTGCAACTCAAGCACGATTACCTGCAATCTAAAATAGTGAATCCAAATGAGATCACAATATCAGAAACTGAAGGGGATTACACAAACAATTTGAATTAATGTAGAACTTTTAACAACATGTACCTAGGTGATTCAAAGAGGCACTATAAAATTAGATGCTACAGTGGCAATGTTAGGGCAGATGACCAAAAATGTGGTCAAAGAGATATATTCTGTGCCAATGTTTAAACTCCATGTAAGCATCCTTTCATCATATTCAAATGCACTCTATCCCTGGGATGTGGCTATAAGATCTAGTGACAGAATATGAGGGGGAGAATCTCACCGTTTCTAGCCATGTGGCAAGTTTATTTTCATTTTACAGGTAAAACCTTGCCAATTATTTCAGCTCACCCTCCCCATCATTTTTCATGCTGTAAAGCCCACTTGTCAGGTCATTTTGCCATTTGCCTCTGACTCTGGACAAAACACCAATGAACCAGAGGTTGTAAATTCTCTCATGCTGATGTTCTTGTCTCCCTCAGCATCATGGTTCCGAATAAAAAGCTCAAATGCTGAGTTGATAAACACAAATCTGCCCATCACTCCATGAAATTGCACTGTGGGGCCTCAAAAATCTCTCAGAATTGTATTCCAAATTTATCTATGCTGCAAAATAGTTTAGACGCTACTGGTGCACTACTGAATATATTGTCAAGGTTTTTTTCTACTTTAGTACTCTTGTCTTCTGCTAAGAATCCCTTTTGGAAGTACTGCATCAGAGACTGTGATTTTCTGACCATTAATTTTAATGGATGGAAAGATCACAGACTGGCAAAGTACAAGTTTTGATCCACATTATCTCCTCAGTGCATGAATGGAAAAATTGGACCTCCCCCTCGGCCTAGTCAACGTCATCTGGATCCCTTTGTGTTACTATATGGTGACACACACTACAAATTCTTATTGCACAGAGCAAATTCTGTAGTTGTTTAAAACACTCAAGTGTTTCTCATTTATGTTGTATTAGACCATTTTTCATCCAGACAGCGAACTGTCAATTCAAAAAACAATGAAAGAATAAAACTGTTTGAAAATGCAAAGCATGTTAGAAAGCATGTACAGCCTGCAAGCAGGCCAATTTGCTCAACAGATCCAAAGCATTTCTGCTTTGCACCAGATTGCTCAGTTCCCGTGTCATCTCACATCAGCAACGCCACTTAAACTGCCTCAACCGCTCTACATTCTTACCATATTTTTTGGTATATATACGAATGGAAACAGTAGTGAGACTGCAATATTATACTTTATTTCAATCATTCCACCACGTTTCCCCACCCCCCCATTCCCCAACTCAATTTGGCTGTTCGCTCCTCTTTTCAAAAGGAAATGACTCCCTTCACTGGAGCTGTATCTCCAGGAATGGTCCATTCTTTGTGAATGTCAACAAAATAACAGGCTCATTGAGCCTAATCATGTCTTCCCTTAATTTTGAAAGGACTGGAGTACAGTTCATTTGTTCTAGGGACTTAGAAATATCAAAAAAGCTGTCTTTATTGCTCTTCTCTGGTTGCCCTGAAAAGGTGACTCCGTGGCAATAACCTTTTTCAATTGAGCAGTTTGTCAAACCTCTTTAGAGTTAGCCTAGTAATTAGAAGGCTCAGAGTTCAAATCCCATCACAGGAAGTGATCAAAGGTAATTTGGAAAATCTGGCAATCTGCTGGCAAGTAACAGGTAACTGTTAAAATTAAAACTACAATGCTGTGAGAAAACAAAAGCAAATTTTCTTAACATAGTGTGCTGATGGGAGGAATGCAATGAGAATGCGGGTCAACAAGACTCAATAATTTGTTTATGAAATTCATTTTGATTATGAAAATTTTTCAATATTCCTACGACAGTTGTGAAAGAATTGCACACATGCAAAATAAATCTTCTTGGGTGAAGAATAATCTCTTTCTCTCACAGAGGAACACACTCATGCCATCCTGCTTCCCCCTGTACTGCCTGGTGGTAAACATCACAACCAAATATCACTGACTCAATAAGCAACTAGTTTTTAAATTTAAAAACTGACTTCCCTTGCAGCAAATGCTGTAGCTACTTCCAGTTAACATAATATCTGCCAAATCATCACCTCACCTCAGGAGGGTGGCCTTTAGCCATCAGCTCTAAAATTGTCTCACCAATTGCAAAAACAAGTTCACCATTTTTCTCTTTGTTATGATCAACCTCTTTGACAAACATTTTGGTCGTACATTCCACAATCTGCTTTGTTTGGGGCCGTGTTCATTTTATTGTTTGAATGGAAGCCGATGTTACTGAAAGCTGTCTCAAGGCCATAAAAATTAAATGGGTTCACCAATGACTTTCAGATTCTGGCCTGTGCCATCCTCACTCCCACACCCTCTGACTAGTGCCAATAACTAAGAATGGTCAATAAATGCAGAGTTACCTACATCCCAAGAAAACTAGTCAATTGGGGTTTTGCTGTCAAATTGACAGCTCTTTGGCGGATTGGTGCAAAATTTTCTTTGATAACTCTCCATGAAGTGTCTACCGCGTTAAAATGCTGCATAAATACATGTTGTTGCAAGTAGGCACAAATAATTGTCAAGATTATGAAAATGCCAGAGGATATGCTTAAATCAACATACCAATGAATGATTGAGTCTTACTGACCCAAATTCTCATTGCATTTCTCCATCAGCTCACTTTATTTAATATTGTTTTTGCTTTAATTTCTTACAAAAATGTAGTTTCGTTTTTAAATAAGATTGCACTTCTGGTTTGAATGTAAACCATAGCAAATATTACGGCCCCACACAATACATTTCCCCTTAAAGAACTAAAATACCACAACCCTACAAGCAAAAGAACACAAACGATACAACTTAACAAAAGGAAATATTCAATTACTTCCGATAAACTTGACGGGTCACAACTGTGAACAAATTCTATTTTTGTTCATGGTAGTAACTAAAAACAACCATTACGTGATTACTTTTAATGTAGTTATAAAATCTAGTCAATCTATAATGATTGCCATCTACAAGAAGGCACTTGCTCCGAGACATGTTGGTGCAACAGCAATGTACAAATATGGGGTTGTTATCTTAAAATCTCCTTTCTCGTGAAGGATTAGCAGTAACATTCCAAACGGGCAGACATTTACTGAAAGGAATTTCAGAATGATTAAATATTCCTAAATCTCCAGCCAAAGGTGGTGTCAAGACAATTAGTAAAGGGAACAGCTTTACTCGTATTCGATTTTGTCATGTAAATTTTCCAATGTTCTGACGAAGTTAAGAAAGAAACACACATATGCAAAATAAACCTTATTCGATTGAAACTAATCTCTCTCCCACAGAAACATACTCATGCCATCCTGCTTCTCCCTGCACTGCCTGGTGGTAAACATCGCAACCCAAATATCACTGACACAATGAGCAACTAAATTTAAATTCAAAATGTAGCAGACCTCTTGCAGCAATTGCTGTAACTACTTCCAGTTAACATCATATTAAATCTGCAACAGGTCACTTTTCATAAGTAAAAGCAGAAACCAACCTGCAAATGCATGAACAGCAAATAAAAGTTGATGACACATTACTTTTGGCTTTGATTCTCCTGCTGCTGTCTTGTTTATTCTTTCGATTTGTTTCCGATTGCCAGAAACACAGTGGTCTCAAGTTACTACATAGGTGAAGCTACTTTACTCTTGTAGTCACTTTCCTTGCGGTGGTTTACAATGAAGTCACCCCCGAGTCACAAATAGCCCAGAGCTGATGGGTGGTAGAGATCTCCTGACTTACAGGAAACCCTGTTGCTCGATTCTTTCAGCCTGGCGGCACTCTTGTTTGTTAATAATCCCACTCGCAGTTCGCATGACGGCTGTACCAGCCTCTCCGCCACCACTGTTACCAACCCTCCAGAATTATCAAAACTCTCCTGGAATTAAAAGATGCTGCTGCAAGCAACACAGGTCTGAAATTAAAATCAGTATGGCACTGAAGGAATGGTGAATCTCTTTCATCTTCTTTGAGCTGCTTATTAGTTTAAAAAATGCTAAAAACGGGATGAAAATGGATGAGTGACTGGATGAAGTTGGAGGTTGAAGTGTTTCGCACAGATGCCTTGACTATACATCCTCACAGAGATAGTAGGAACTGCAGATGCTGGAGAATCTAAGATAACAAAGTGTAGAGCTGGATGAACACAGCAGGCCAAGCAACATCAGAGGAGCAGGAAGGCTGACGTTTCGGGCCTTCCTGCTCCTCT